ATAACCCCTGACCCCATAACCTGTGACCCCATAACTGCTGTGCCCCACATCCCTGACCCCATAACGTGGGACCCCACAGTCTGGCCGGCTCATTGACCTGTGCCAGCCCACCCAGAAGAACCCAAACCCCATAACTGATACACCCCATAACTGATACACCCCATAACTGATACACCCCATAACTGATACACCCCATAACTGATGCACCCCATAACTGATACACCCCATAACTGATAGACCCCATAACTGATACACCCCATAACTGATGTACCCCATAACTCCTGACCCCAAAGCCCACATCTCTGACCCCATAACCTGTGACCCCACAGTATGGCCGTCTCATTGACCTGTGCCAGCCCACCCAGAAGAACCCAAACCCCAAACCCCACATCCCTGACCCCATAACTGATACACCCCATAACTCCTGACCCCATAACGTGTGACCCCATAACTGCTGTGCCCCATAACTCCTGACCCCATAACGTGTGACCCCACAGTATGGCCGGCTCATTGACCTGTGCCAGCCCACCCAGAAGAACCCAAACCCCAAACCCCATAACTGATACACCCCATGGCTCCTGACCCCAAACCCCACATCCCTGACCCCATAACCCATGTGCCCCATAACCCCTGACCCCATAACGTGTGACCCCACAGTATGGCCGTCTCATTGACCTGTGCCAGCCCACGCAGAAGAACCCAAACCCCACATCCCTGACCCCAAACCCCACATCCCTGACCCCATAACCCATGTGCCCCATAACTCCTGACCCCATAACGTGTGACCCCACAGTATGGCCGTTTGATTGACCTGTGCCAGCCCACGCAGAAGAACCCAAACCCCAAACCCCATAACTGATACACCCCATAACTGATACACCCCATAACTGATACACCCCATGGCTCCTGACCCCAAACCCCACATCCCTGACCCCATAACTGCTGTGCCCCATAACTCCTGACCCCATAACGTGTGACCCCACAGTATGGCCGGCTCATTGACCTGTGCCAGCCCACGCAGAAGAAATACCAGATTGCCGTGACCAAGGTGCTGGGGAAGAACATGGACGCCATCATCGTGGACTCGGAGAAGACGGGCAGGGATTGCATCCAGTACATCAAAGAGCAACGGGGGGAGCCCGAGACCTTCCTGCCCCTCGACTACCTNTGAGCCTGAACCCCCTAAACTGAGCCTAAACCCCCTAAACTGAGCCTGAACCCCCTCAACTGAGCCTAAACCCCCTAAACTGACCCTAAAACCTGTCCCCGAACCCTCAAAACCTGACCCTAAAACTGACCCAAAACCTGCCCCAAAACCAGCAAAACCTGACCCTAAAACTGATCCTAAACCCCCACGTGTGCCCCAAAATCTGCCCGTAAAACTGACCCAAAACCTTCCCCAAAACCAGAAAACTTCCCCCAAAACCTGACCCTAAAATTGCCCCCAAACCTCCAAAACCTGACCCTAAAACTGACCCTAAAAGTGACCCCAAAACACCAGAGTGACCCTAAAACTGCCCCAAAGCACCCGAGAGGGACCCAAAAACATCAGAGAGTGACCCTAAAATGGACCTAAAACTGACCCCGAACCCCTCAGCCAAATGCAGAGGAACCCAACCCCATTTCTGGAGTCTCTCACCCCAAACCCCACATCCCTGACCCCATAACTGATGTGCCCCATAACTCCTGACCCCATAACCAGTCTGTGACTCTATAACCCCTGACCCCATAACCTGTGACCCCATAACTGCTGTGCCCCACATCCCTGACCCCATAACTGATGTGCCCCATGGCTCCTGACCCTATAATCCATGTGCCCCACATCCCTGACCCCATAACGTGTGACCCCACAGTATGGCCGTCTCATTGACCTGTGCCAGCCCACGCAGAAGAACCCAAACCCCATAACTGATACACCCCATAACTGATACACCCCATGGCTCCTGACCCCAAACCCTGCATCCCTGACCCCATAACTGATGTGCCCCACATCCCTGACCCCAAACCTCACATCCCTGACCCCATAACCCATATACCCCATAACTCCTGACCCCATAACGTGTGACCCCACAGTATGGCCGTTTGATTGACCTGTGCCAGCCCACGCAGAAGAACCCAAACCCCAAACCCCATAACTGATACACCCCATAACTGATACACCCCATAACTGATACACCCCATGGCTCCTGACCCCATAACTGATACACCCCATGGCTCCTGACCCCAAACCCCACATCCCTGACCCCATAACGTGTGACCCCACAGTATGGCCGGCTCATTGACCTGTGCCAGCCCACGCAGAAGAA